ACATTGACAGGACAGAAGGGCTCTGACATGGCCAGGATGAGGGGAGTGGGTAGACCAGATGACTGACATACGTAAGTAACACCAGGGACTGCTGGAAAAGTAGCATTCTGTCAGTCCTTAGATCCTTTGCTCCCACTCTGATGGAACCACTGGGTCTCTGGTTCCTCCAACTTTACCTTCCCTGCAGCTGTCCCCATTGCATCTTACAGTTCTTGTTTTTCTCCTCCTTCAGAATAGACACTTGAGGAGCCTTAAGGAAAACCTGTTGGAAATCCTATGGTTTGTGCTTAGAACCTGAACTTCATCATGGTCTTTTCAGGTAGCCAATTTCCTCTTTTCTGGCTGCTTCAAGATCACAAGAGTTCCAATGGAAAAGGAATTTACATATATAAGTGTGTATAAAAGTGTGCGGTCTTGACTATATGATAGCTCCCAGAGGCTCATGCTTTTTAATACTTGGTCTCCAGTTAGTGCCGCAATTTGGGGGAAGTTATGGAAATCTTTGGATATGAAGGCATAGTGGATGAAGTCCATCTGTGCGTGGACTTTTAGAGTTTATGGCCCCGCTGAGTATGGTGTACAAGCCTTAATCCCAACACTTTGTCAGGCTGAAATAGGTGGATATCTGTGAATTTGCAGCCAGGCTGGTCTACACAGTGAGTTCCAGATCAGCAAAGGCTACATAGTGAGTCTGTGGATCAAAAATAGAATAAAATAAAATAAAGCAAAATAAAATAGAATTCATAGGTTTCCCCTTCTGGCACATTCTGTGCTTCTTAAGTACAATTGAGATGTAATCTCTCAGCTTCCAGCACCCGCTCCTGTGCCTTTCCTTCCACTATGGACATCTATCCCTGTGGAGCTAGAACTCAAACAGATCTTCATTAATGTATTCCTGTTATGGTATTTTATCTGAGGAACAGAAAAGTAACTAATAGAGAAGGTGACACCATTGAGAGGGCTGTTGTTGTGAAGAACATGACTAGTTATGGATATAGCTATAGATAGCTATGACTATATAGATATATCTATAGATAAATAAATAGATAGGTAGAGATAGATCAATGATAGACAGAAGAATATATAGATTGAGAAATTAGGGAGACTTTGAAACTTTGAAATACAAATGCAGTTGAATACTGTAAGCATAGCCCAGTGGGGTCAACATTGCAGTATCCTGGAAGACAGTAGTTCTGAGAGCAATATAGAAAGGTGGTGACTTGCTCATGAGGTTTTAGAGTGAATAAAGGAATTTTTTGGCTTCTTGGTCAAAGTTTATTCCTGTGATATTTTGGCAAGTAATCTGGCCTTTTCTGTCCATGTCCTGAGAATTTACAGAAGGCTAAATCGAAAGCAAAGGACTAATTTCTTTGGAGGGGAAAGGTCAATACAGTCTGTGGATGGTTACTAATGGTGACAGGTCCACAATGAAAACAGCAATTGGGACAGTAAGAAATGACAAATGTTTGTCAATTTGCTTTTGGAGAGAAAAGGACCCTAGAAAGTTCAGTGTCATAGAATGGTTGTGACAAGGAGATTGGGGAATTAACAGCAGGCACCTACTCTTCAATATAACAGTGGGAGTATGTACTAAGGGCAAGGACCCAGCCAGCTAAGCTCCAGCTTGATAATGGAGAAAACCCAGAGCTTTCTTGCTCCTGGAAAGTCATTGTATCAATGTGTGAAGCTTCTGTTGGTGTTGGTGAATGTGACAAGGTTCTGTGCCAAGTTGGTAGTCAAACCTGGAAGTGTTGTCTATGTGGTCCTGGCTTGGAAGACATGAAATATTCAAGATTCAGGGGCATATGGATGCTTTGGTTTCTGAGAGCCCTGAGTCTTCCCATATTCAAATTACTCTGATGTCAATCCCATTTTCTTTGAAAATTCCACTATTGACACAAAAAGATATGTAGAGCCCGCTAATGTCTTGAAAGTCACATTTGAAGGCACTAGTACCACAGTGTTTGACCTATAAGAGGCTCATTTTAGATGGAACAAGGGGCTTCAACAAAACGACTGTGATTTCCCTCAGCTATGGCTGCCAATGTCTGTGATGAGCATATGGCAAGTCTGTACCAGCAAATACCCTCTTCCAGGTGTGCAGAGGAAGCAGGGTCACTATATCTGCACATGGTGTCTCCAATGCATGTGAGGCGAAGAGTCAGAGTAGGAGGTGGACACAGAGAGACACGTATGTACATATGATAGATAATGAAATGGTGGATAGATGAAAGAGTAGAAATCTTGTATCTCCCTGTCATAAGGACTCAGTCCAACTGTGTAGTGCTGTATATTCATGGCATCACTTGGTCCTCATTACTTCCTTAAAAGTCCTGTCTCTTTAGAACCTTTTAAAATGAATTTGGATCGATGTTCATGAGGGATATTGGCCTGTAGTTCTCTTTTTTAGTTGTATGTGTGGCTTGGGTATCAAAGTAATTGTAGCCTCATAAAAAGAATTTGGCAATGTCCCTTCTGCTTCTATTGTGTGGAACTGAAAGACCCCCGCCCCGGGGGTGGGACCCCAGGGTGAACACTCAGGAATGCGGAGACGCCAGTCACCAGGCGGAGGCAAGGACTTGATGCAAACCGCATGAGGCTTTATTCAGTATCCGGCGCCAGGGCCCAACTTGTTACTCACGCAGGAGCAGAGGAGCTGGACTCCGAGCTGGGGGCTATGGGCTTCTTAAAGGCAAAAACTGCAACAGATGGAGTCTGGGGTGAGCGAGGGTAACAGTTATGATTGGCTCATTTCAGGTGGCCGACTGCAATCTCCGGGTTCATGGGGCGTTCAGGGCAGTTACATCTCTATCTCTGGGAACCATTTGTCAGGGTGGAATTCCTCAACCCTAAAGGCCCTTTCCTGTTAAGGTCATAAGTTTAGATCCTTAAGTATCTGCAAAGAAAACATCTTAGGCTGGAGTCCTTCAGTTGAAGGCCACAAATTACAGAGTTTCCATGGTTACTTAAGGTCATACAAAGTACAGAGTTAGTCAGTAACTATACATTTCAAGGAAGATACATTTGACTGAGATAAGACAGGGCATGGGCTTGTAGGGTTACAGAGTCACAGGGTCTGTCAGTTATCCCCAGGGCTGGGGGATCTTTATGACCAGCAATTAGCAAAGGAATGTTAACAGGAGTGGTGGATAGTTACCTCTCCTTCTCTGAGAGTAGGGGATCAGGTGCCACTCATGGCACTCCTGATTTAAGGAGTTAAATTTTCCTTTATCATTAGAGGTTCCCTAAGTTTTTAAACGTTTATTAATTTGAATTTTTGGTCCTTCAGAACAATTTGAGGAGTACTGGTATTAGCTGTTTTTTTTTTTTTTTGTTTGTTTGTTTTTCCATCATAGAAATGCAAGATTTAATTATGGTAGCAAAGTTTTCAAGTCTTGGAACTTTTATGACCTTCCCAAAGAAATCCCCCAAACCAAGCACTCACTGATCTGGAAATATAGAGATTAAAATGAGAAACCCAAGACAGCTGTGTGGTGCTTGCCTGTAATCACAGTTCTAAGAATGCTAAGGAGGCTGATCTGATTCAAGACCTCCCTTCTGGGCTACACAGCATGTCCCCATGCCAGGTTACAGTGAGATCTGTCTCAAAAACCATGAGGAAAAAAAAGGGATGTGGGGAAGGGACTTACATTAACATATCAAACAGGCTAACTAGCAGGTTTCAGATCTACATATGACTTAAGAGAAAGGGAAGTGCAAACATGGTTGGAACCACTGTGCAGTAGTCATGTGTTTATCCAGCAGGTATGAGGCCCTGTTTGACCCCCAGTACTGAGCAAAAACACCAGGTATCTTGTTCAATGATCTAGGTAACAATACTTAGCATCTCTGACATCTAGTCACACTTTAGATTTCTACACTTCTACCTCAGGAGTGGCCAGACCATTTATCTTCTTCAGCTGTAACCATCAAGGTCCCAAACACTTACTTCTGCTCTAATCAGACCACTCTGGAAAACAGCCCCCCTCCCCTTTTTTTTTTGAGACAGGGTTTCTCTGTGGCTTTGGAGGCTGTTCTGGAACTAGCTCTTGTAGACCAGGCTGGTCTCGAACTCACAGAGATCCTCCTGCCTCTGTCTCCCGAGTGCTGGGATTAAAGGCGTGCACCACCAATGCCAGGCAAAACAGGGCCCTTTTACAATGGATTCTATTTTACCCAGTTAGGCTTCATTCAAAGCAAAAGACTGTTAATTCTTAGCCCCATATTTTATCCTCTACATTCCCTAAAGTCTCCCACACTTTCTCTACATTATCTAATGGATTATTTCAACCTCTAATTAACTATCTACCTACCTACCTAACTATTAATTCATTTGGCATTTATTTACTTGTTTCGTTTTTCAAGCCAGGGTTTCTCTGTGTAGCCCTATATATCCTGGTACTTACTCTGTAGACAGGCTGGACTCAAATTCAGAGGTCCACCTGCCTCTGCCTCCTGAGTGTTATGATTTAAAAAGGCATGTGCCACCACTGCCTGGCTATTTCAACCTTTAGGTGACTTGGCCTCATCATGAACAATAAATGAAAGCATATCTGTGAGTATCAAGAAGATAATAAACAGGCTTAAAAGGTAGGTTCAATCTTCTTATCTTCTTTTATATGGGATAAAGGGTTACAGGGTTACAGCTAATTCCCCCTAATATCTGCCACTGACACTTGTCCTGTATGGTCTAATTTGGCTCTGGCAATTTAAAGCAGCACCTAATAAAACACATGTTCTCTTTTCTTTCTTTTTTTTATTAATAAGCAAAATAATTAAAAACAAAAATATAACAACTTAAATGCAGAGTAGCAGTTTAATCAAACTGCTGCTAGAATCCAAGGATGCACACCTAAGGTACATGCTTCCTCACTGTGAGGCACATGGTGTGTGTGTGTGTGTGTGTGTGTGTGTGTGTGTGTGTGTATGTGTGTTTTTAAAAAAAATCATGAAGAATTTGAGGAATGGAAACCACTGATGCAGAAAGCATGAACTTTTCATTATGCAATCCCCAAACGCTCTGCTCTTTTCCTTTTTGCCTCTGTATCCTCAGTAGTTCCACTTCCTGCTGAACTTCTCACAATCCCAAATCTATGCTTCCTTTTTTTTCAGCTTCTCATCATCCTCAGCCTTTCTGGAAATGGAAGAGACATTCAAACCAAATCTCTGTGCTCTTTCCTTTAGTTTATCCAGGTTAACCGTAGGCTTGGTGTCAGATGACAGACCTTTTGTTGGAACAGAAGAAATTCCAAACCTAGCTGCCCGAGCAGCCTTCTTACTCTCCAAGCTTACAGGTACATTGAACGGTTCAGCCCCCTTCTGCGTGCTCTCAGTCTGAGGTATGCCAGATGGAATTTTTACCACCTTCTTTTCTGATGCCACATCAACAGCCTTTTCAGGAGGTTCTTCCTCTTTAACAGGAAGCTCTATAGGGTCTTGTTCTTCTTCCTTAGTTTCATCTCCCAGGAAATCTCCTTCATTTACTTCCTCTTCAGCATGTTCTTCAAGATGCGCCTGGAGCCTGTTGATAAGATTCTGTTTTATTCCCTTGGTCTCTAAACCACGAGCAAGGCATTCTTGCTTTAGTTCAGCAAGTCTGCCAACAACATGGGGTGGGGGAGTCAATCTTCAATCAGAAAATCTAGTGCCCTCCCTCCCAACCAGCTATGGCTGGTTGGTAACAGGGTGTCTTTCCAGCAGTTTCTGTGTCGGAAGCCTGGTCCTCAGTGTAGTTGTGCTGGGACTCTGGTATTAGGTCTTGTTTGAATTTCTGGTAGAATTCTGCAGTGAAGTCATCTGGCCCTGGGCTTTTTTTTTTTTTTTTTGGTTGTAAGATTTTTGATGACTGCTTCTATTTCCTTAGGGATTATAGGTCTATTTAAATTGCTTATCTCTTTTTGATTTAATTTTGGTAAGTGATACCTATCCAGAAAATTGTCCATTTCCTTTAAATTTTCCAATTTTGTGGAGTACAGGTTTTCAAAGTATGACCTGATGATTCTCTGGATTTCCCCATTGTCTGTTGTTATGTCCCCCTTTTCATTTCTGCTTTTGTTAATTTGCATGTTCTTTCTCTGCCTTTTGGTTAGGTTGGATAAAGGTTTGTTTATCTTGTTGATTTTTTCAAAGAACCAACTCTTTGTTTCATTGAATCTTTGTATTGTTCTCTTTGTTTCTACTTTATTTGTTTCAGCTCTCAATTTGATTATTTCCTGGCGTCTACTCCTTCTGGATGAGTTTGCTTCTTTTTGTTCTAGAGCTGTCAGGTGTTCTGTTAATTCTCTAGTGTGGCTATTCTCCAGCTTCTTCATGTGGGCACTTAGTGGTATTAACTTTCCTCTTAGCAATGCTTTCAGGTTGTCCCATAGGTTTGGGCATGTTGTGTCTTCATTTTCATTGAATTCTATGAAGTCTTTGATTTCCTTCTTTATTTCTTCCTTCACCCTGGAGTGATGCAAATGAGCGTTGTTCAATTTCCATGAATTTGTGGGGTTTCTGCAATTTGTGCTGTTGAATTGTAATTTTAAACCAAGGTTGTCTGATAAGATACAGGGGATTATTCCAATTTCTTTTTGTATCTGTTGAGGTTTGCTTTATTGCCCAGCATGTGGTCGATTTTAGAGAAGGTGCCATGTGATGGTGAGAAGAAGGTATATTCTTTTGTGTTTGGATGAAATGTTCTATAGATGTTTGTTAAACCCAATTGTGTTGTAACTTCTGTTAGTTCCTTTGTTTCTTTGTTAAGTTTCTGTCTTGTCCTCCTTTTCAGTGGTGAGAGTTTGATGTTGAAGTCTCCAACTATAAGTGTGTGGGGTTTAATGTGTGATTTGAGTTTTAGTAATGTTTCTTTTATGAATAGATAATGTTTGTTTTCTGGATAGATATCACTTAATATGCCTTTGTATTTGGGGCATAGATGTTCATCTTCATCTCTTTTGATTAATTTTAGTTTGAAGTCTACTTTGTTAGATATTAGGATAGCTGCACCTGCTTGCTTCCTAGGTCCATTTGATTGGAAAATCTTTTCCCAACCCTCAACTCTGAGGTAATGTCTGTCTCTGAAGGTGAGGTGTGTTTCTTGTATGCAGCAGAAGAATGGATTCTGTCTTTGCATCCATTCTGTTAGCCCCCACAATGTCACCGTGAACACACTCTGCTATCCCTGGCTGTAGATGTGGGGTATATGTGGAACCCTCACTGGCCCAGCAGAAAGAGCCTGCATAGCATGTCCTGGTTATCAGTTTGGGGCTGCCACAAGGATCATGCTAAGGCCTAGGCTGTGTGAGGGACCTGAGGGTGGATGTCAATTGTAGTAAACAGACATGCACCTGGAAATAGGACATCCAACGACTGGGAGGGACTGGGCAAGCCTGTAGGGTGCACGTGGTGTGTAATGTCCTCAAGAGGGAGGGAAAGGGGGCAATTTTAAGGGGTGGTAGGATCCCAGTACAGGCCTGGAGTCCTGGAAGGTCCCTCTATTGGGGGAGGGAGTTGAGGGAGTGACTACAGCAGGGAGCAAGGCTTGTGTTTTGTGTGGAAGCCCTTGCACCTGACATCAGGAGAAGCAGAAAGTCCTGACTCCTGTATTCCCTCCTAAAGCAGAGGCAGGGAGTCCCACTACCACTGGAAGGCTGTGTAGACAGCTTCAGTTCTGTCTCATCTGGAGAGCTCAGCACAGCTGGGGAAGGAGGCTCCCTGCCTAGGCTTCCAGCTCACTTGGATCAGGACAGAGCAGACACCATCCAAGAACCCTCTAAGTACCTACCCAGGGGACACTCGTCCAAGCACATGAGGGCTAGGTCCACAGCAGGTTCAGAGCTGACCAAGAGAGCCTTCCTCCACCCCAGTGCTGAGGATCCTGCAATCTAGGGAAGTGCTGTATCACTGAGTCACATTCCCAGCACCATAGGATCATGGAAGAATGAGATCCACAGGGCAGATGCTGTTATCTATGTGTGGGGTCACCCAAGACCCCATCTCATCACCCTGTCTACCCACCATCCCAACTCCGCTTTGCACATGGTTCTTTTTTTTTTTTTTTTTTTTTTTTTTTGTTTTTTTTGAACAGGGGTTTTTTTTTGGCACTCGCTCTGGAGACCAGGCTGGCTTCGAACTCACAGAGATCCACCTGCCTCTGCCTCCCAAGTGCTGGGATTAAAGGTGTGCGCCACCATTGCCCGGCTGCACATGGTTCTTATGGTGTCACTGGGGCCCTGCAGCCTGTGAATCAGGAGGAAAAAGAAAGGGACAGCCAGCTCTCCTGTCACACCTGTATCTTTAATAGGAACCCCCAGAAGTATTTCAGCAACCTTCCCTTTGTTTCTGGCCAAAGTCATATAGTCATTGTTAGTTTGAACATGCCCCACAATTAGAATCCCAGATATCCAGTGTCCAAGAAGAGAGGCAGGCATGGGGATGGACAGAGGAGGGGCTTCTGAACTGGGGGGGGCCCACCAGGGACCTGGGGAACCACTGTGCTGGTGTGAGGAGGTCAGTGAGCAAACACCAGCTGCCTTTGGAGCATGGACACCTCTGGCAGGTCTCACAGGGACACCTCACAGATGTGTTAGTTTATTCATTCCTCATATATGACACTTTCAACATACACCTGTACAGTCCATGTCTATCCTCATACATGACACTAACAACATACACCTGTACAGGGAAAGCCCATCAGCCAATGATCCTGGGGACACTCCTGTCATCCTCAGGTGACTCAGACAGGCGTTCCTCTCAATGAGGAAGAAGGCTTGCCTTGGGATCATAGTGTTAGTGAAGATGAAGGGAGAAGCCCCTGTAGGAGCTGGGCTTTGGTGAG